AAATCGTTAAGCAACTGATTGGGTCATAGGATCCCTGTTTGTCTTATAGTTACTCAAATCCAGTAAGTCAAGTTCTTTCCCATTCATTCTCACTGCACAAAATTCCAAAGGAACAATTCCATCCTCATTCATTACCAATGGACAAGATAGGGCAGGTACGGTGGCTCAGTGGTTAGCACTGCTGTCTTGCAGTGCCACAAAACTGGGTTCGATTCCACCCTCGGGCAACCATCTGTGTGGAGTTTGCACATTCTCCCAGTGTCTGCGTAGGTTCCCTCCGGGTGCTCCAGTTTCCTCCCACAGTCCAAAGATGTGCAGGCGAGGTGGATTAGCCATGGGAAATACAGGGACAGGATAGGGAAGTGGGTCTGGTGGGATACCCTTTGGAGGGTCAGTGTGAATTCGATGGGCCAAATGTGCTTCCACACTGTAGGGATTCTAGGATTTCATGACAAGTGCATTGAACCATTTCTCATCTTATGTAGAGCTGTTTAGTCAATTGAAAACCTTTAATGGTCATCAACAAATTACTGCCTATATTTACCTGAAGACAAATTCAGCAATTCTGCTTAATTTTGTTCAAGTAAAGCTAGTTGCCTGGAGGGTGAATCACCGAGTGGGTTGATGGACAAATATTTACACAGGCATGTTTCTATCTTACATTTACAGGAATCCATTGAAAATATTAAACATCATAGCAAACTATTTATTTTTAAGAATTTTATTTATCGAAAGCGATTTAACTCCTGCGCTAGAACCAACTGAACTTAACAGCTGGAGGTTTCCACTGCAGGTAGATTACTGCATTGATACAAATGATCTTGTTTAACAAGAGAGGAAGCTCAAGACTTGTGTTTGAAATGGTTGGCATTATTCAAGATTACCCAGCACGCTGCTCAGAAGTAGCCACAAAACAAAAACGGTGGCAACATGGAAATCGAGCAGGATTTTTCCTTTTGCATTGGGTCAAATCCAGGTCACGAGCTAACACTGTCTGAGCAAGAGTCACCAGGCAGTGACTGTCCCCCTATCAGAGGTCAAACGGCAGGTTTGGGATAAAACAGAAAATGACAGGCAAGCTCTGAAAGCTAATGGAGTTGGACTTTCTACACCTTAAAGTCCGCAATTTGGGAAAGAGAAAGAAGATGCTTCAATTTTGAGGTGATGGTTTTTAATCTATCCAATTTTGAAGAATGGTCTCAAGCAGCTGGGCTACCAGTATGACAAAAGGTGGGGCATGAAAACCTCCTGGCACAGATGACCAGGTGCCCCACTGACTGACTGAAAACCTCTAGAATGCCTTTGACTATTGGCCTTAATAGGCCACTCCGTTCCCTCCATTGAGCTGTGTGTCATTTTGGGGTCAGGTAGCTCTTCAGCCATCGTTCCTGTCCATTTCAAAGTGGCGTGGAGGACTAAGATCCAGACAAAGTAACACAGCAGCCAGCAGTGCACAATTGTCACCTATCTCTGAACTCACTATGGTAAACTGGGTGTGATTTTTAGCTCTCTATCAACAAAAGGCAGCACGAAGGAAGGAAAGGACTTGTATTTCAAGATATTTTCCTATCAATCTGTTCAGAGATGTTATTACACACCACTGGAGCAGGTAAGACTCTGAACCCAGGCTTCTTAGCCCAGATGTAGGATGACCTAAAAACATAGAAAATAGGAGTAGGCCATTTGTCCCTTTAAGTCTGCTCGGTCATTCGATATGATCATTGTTGATCATCCATCTCAATAGCCTGCACCTGCTTTCCCCCAATAATCTTTGATCCCTTTAACTCCAAGAACTATATCTAACTCCTCCTTGAGAGCACTCAATATTTTGGCCTCAACCAATCTTTGTGACAGAAAATGCCACAATCTCATCTCTGTCTCAGGCTTGCTGCAGTGTTCCAGTGAAGCTCAGTGCAAGCTAAAGGAACGCTTCGTTCGCTTGGGGACCGTGCTGCCCTCCACACTCAATGTCGAGTTCAATAATTTTAAGAGTCTGAACTCTCCCATGTCCTAGGCCCCTACCCCACACACCAGGCCTTGTTATCACATAGTCTGCCATTACACACTACCTATTGTTAGTCACTAACAGTCCCCATTAACAGCTATTCCTAGCCAGGGTGTTATCAACTCCTTTGTCTGCCCAACTGCTCTTCTCTCTCTTTGGGCTCTATCTCCACCTAGCGCTTACTCCTTATGGTGGGGAGAGGGATATCTTCTACATATAAACCGACATTTTCCTAGCTACCATCAGTTCTGAGGAAGGTTCACTCAACCCAAAATGTTAACTCCAATTTCTGCTTTGCTAAATCTCTGATTTGCTGCCAGACCTGCTTTTCCAGCAACTTCTGTTTTTCTTTCTGATTTACAGCATCTGCAGCTCTTTTGACATTTAATTAGATCATCTGTTCTTTTTGTGATGTCTGTCAAAAGGTTAAAAATTAATCCAGACACCAGAGGAACTGGTGACATCTGGGAAGACAGAAACAAGATGATTGTTTCAGCTTTGTGACCTTTCAAGATCTGATGAAACATTAACTCCATCTCCCCAGACGTTGCTAAACTAGCAGAGCATTACCAGCACTTCCTGCCTTTATTTCAGATTTCCAGCATCCAGAACAGTTTACTGCTGGGAGAACTGCGCAGCTTCTCCTCGAATAGTCCCCTGTGAGTGAGATAACACTGCCTCCCTTTTCACTGCTTTCAGTATGTGTCTAGGGCTCTCACCTGCCTCTTAGAGGGTGGCTGATTAAACTGCATTGTGATGGGCAAACCATAGAACACCACACAGAATTAACAGCACAGAAACAGGCTACTTATCCCAACTGGTCTTTACGCTCCAGCTAAGTCTTCTCCTGCCCTCCTTCATCTAACCCCATCAACACAACCTTCTCCCTCGTTAGTTTCAGAAATAGTAGGAACTGCAGATGCTGGAGAATCTGAGATAATAAGGTGTAAAGCTGGATGAACACAGCAGGCCAAGCAGCATCAGAGGAGCAGGAAAACTAACGTTTCGGGCCTAGAC